AACGCAGGGTAACGTATTCGGCGTAGATAATCGCATTGGCCCCGGCATGGTTCAAGACAACATGCCGGGGCCCTCAACAAGATACACCAATTAGTAGGAGAGAAACGAAAACATAGTCTGCAAGACTAACCTAGTTTGATGGGAAAACCAGAGTCCAAATTCTGCTTTATTGTTGCACTGATCTCTGGATCTTCTTCCAGATAAATCATCTGAATAGGAAAATATGAAAGAGAGTTTAGAAGGGTACCGGAACCCAAAAATCGATCCTTTAGAAAAGCAGTAATCGCTAAACACAGCCAAACACCCAATCTGAACAGGAAATGTGATGTACAGGGCAAACGACATGAACACGAAAGGCTTTTATTAGTGCGATTATTCGGTTGAGGTGAAATCATGAGAGTGACATTGTAGCCTTCCTTATAAAAATGATGCACATAGCAAAAATAAATGTACAAAATGACAGCTGGAATCCAATATAGCTGAAGATGTACTCACCAAATTATTTCTTGCACCGACATCTGACATACAGGCGGTTGAATACGCGTTTCCGCTACGTGCTTGCACAACGGCGTGAATAGATTTGATAATGAACGACCGGATACATCTACGCCAGAGTGAGTCAAGCGATAATAAGCACCGTACTTACCTCTCTATTGCTGCAGTTTCTTCCGACAGTGACGTCATGCCTCCTACACGAGAAAGAAAAAAAACGACAGCTCTACATAAAACCAATATACTTTCAGAGGCATTATAAGCACAGAAGTGGGAGGTGCATTACTAAAATTTAATGCCAACTTATGACAACATCATATTATGCTCTCCTACGGGCTATTTTAATATCTAAAGGTAAGAGCAGAACATAATAAAAAAGCAAGACCGGTTGCAAAACATTTTCATCAAAGTCGATTAGAAAATACATTCCGTTTAGCGCATGAGGATGGGATAAAAATCAAAGCAAAAAACAAGAATAAAAAAGGTTTAGCCAAAACCATTATTGCTAACAAAATAAACACTAAAAAGTTCAGGAAAAACAAGAAATTTGATATTAATTAACAAGGAGTCGAAAAGATGTTAGATGTTAATCAAAAGAGCTCTAAAGGCGAGGAAAACACATGGACTGCAGCCAAAGGACAGTCCGAAATCCACAATGTCAAAGTAGTGCAAAAAAAACAGAATAATGCAGATTACAACAAACCTAACATTTAAAAAAAGTAATTAGCACTAAAAAGCGCACAACCAGAATATGAAATCAAAAACATTTAAACAACATTCCAGACAGAAAAATTAGTAAGAAACATCACTGTAAATTAAATCTTGAAATTCTGAGAAGTAAAACCGTTACTACCACATATCTGCTTTGGATCTGAAACTTAATATGAACGTCCATTCTTATTGGTCACTTGCTTTCTAGCGGCATAAGGTTGATCAATTGAAACACTCAGTTGATCTCCAAGTTCATGCAGAACTTTTACTTTGTTTTGTCAAAAAATGCACTGACACCAATTAAACTTATTGAATATCATTAATGCAGGTATCTAGAATGTTTGCTAAAAAAAATTTGCATCACTTTGAATTGCCCCATTAATTGTAAATTTTGAAGAAATACTGAATTTCTTTCCCACTTAAGCCCATTTTTTTTTATCATTAAACACTTAAATTCACTTTTTATTATAGCGAACAAAGCGCTTTCAAAACCCATTTTATTCTCATTTATTTATATTTAATCTTGTGTGATAAATCACTTTTCTTTAGCAAAGCTATTTATCATTGCAATTGAAATGGTTACAGGTTACAAAAGCATTCACTAAAATTTTAATCAACCAATATAGATAATTGGTGCAATGTATTTTTCAGACCAGCAAACTCATTTAAAATGTTAACATGGCACAAAATTATCTTGCATGATCGGTCACGATAAGTACTCGATCCACTTTTGAGAATTACGTTAATGAATTTGGATGAACCACTCTGCACGAAGAGTGGATGAAAGCTAATTAGGATCGAGAAAATTTACCGATCAGGTCAAATTGAAACATACGTTTAGTTTCTTCCAAATTACAGCATTAAATTTAATTAAGACTTCTGTAATTGTGTTAAGTTTTCTGTTCATTCCTCCTTTGTCAAAAAATTGAAACACTGACTTTTTAATTGACCTAGAATATGAAGGACATTTAGTTGTAGCATTAAATTATTGCAGCTTTGTAAACAAAAATATTTCTTTTTTGATAATGTAACCCAATCAATTTTTTTCCACTGAAAGGACTGGAAATTGTAGTTACATTTATTCGAATAACATTAACTCATAACACACAAGACGGTGATTTGAACATAGACCAAGGCAATATCTCTACTTTTTGGTGTATGCTAAGGTCATGGTTTTTGCTTGCTCCGAATTTCTAATACTGCCAAATAGGTAGGGGTTGACGGTTAATTATGGCTGAAAACCATTCAAGATATTGATTAATTAAAAAAAGCTCAGGTAATTTTGACCTCCATGGAATGTTTTGAGTTCTGTAATAAGCCTTTGCTCGAGATGGGCAATTTCCAGCCGGCCGTTTGTCTATTGATTAGTTGCTTAACACTGCCTTTATTTAACCTATGTTCGAAGGAATTAAAGAGATGGAATTATTAAAATTCAACTGTTTCTAGGCTTAAAGTTGGTGAGCAATAAGCATTTTATGAAAGTAATTACTACATTGAGAAGTGGGAATCGATTTCCAAATGGATATTAACACAGCAGAAGAAATTGCCTTTGACATACTACAGTGATTTTGTCCACATATTCAGAATTTTAAGCTTTTACGTGAAACACGAAGCGTGTATCGGAGGATTTTGCGATTCCTCAGCTTGAGGTGTACTGTACTTTGAAAAGGGCATAGAATACAGGCTTACTAATTTAATTTTGATGATTATAAGTTTTCATATTTAAATAACCGAATATTAAAGTGTTTCCGTTTGAGAAAAAACATAAACTTAGCAAAATCGATATGAGCATGAGGACAATCACTAGTGGTATTGAAGATGCGTTTAATAATATGTACCTTGATTCATAACGTTAAATTTGCATGCATGTTAAGTTTAAACGGAGAAAAAGCATCGCCAAATTTTTAAAAGATTTCTAGGAATGAAAGAGAAAGCACGATTTGGTTGTAAAGAGCTTCATCTTCCACAACCACAGTAGGAGAGCAGTAAATCTTAGTTAAGCAATTGTTACGAAACAGACAGTTTTATTTTGAAATAGTTATCTAGCATTCTAAAATGTTTCACAGATCTCGCGGAATATCTGCTTTAGTCCCTATGAGTTTTGAATGGAATTAAAAATGTTTATTAAGGGATTAATTGGCCGACGAAAATATTAGATTTAAAATTACGCATCACATTCAGGCACTTTAAAAGTGGAGTAAGCATATTTTTTAATGCAAATGAAATAAAAATTTAAACAAAGATTTGGGGAATCTTTGATTACGTCCTATGGGAGGATAAGTAAATAAGTCAAGTGGAATCTCGAAATTCGCGACCAAAAAACCTGCCTCCCTTTATAAATGATCTTGTTGTCTAAATATTTTGGGGTAATTTAATTTTTTTCCTGAACATTTTTTTTGTGACAATCGGTACTGAATATTTTATTGGATATTTGTCAGTTTGTTTTTTTGTATTTGTCCAAGCAGTCGCATTTTGAAAGTCACGACCACTGCGAGAGATGGACAACGAGGCTGTGCCTGCTGACGAATATGAACAGTATGACTACGAGCAGGATAAAATAACAGGATCAAAGGGTGGGAGAAATCGCGCAAAAAATGAACTCAAGCATGGATTTAGCTCAAATCGCTCCGACCGCATACACCTCGATAGCCAAATAAATAACAGTGAAAAACAAAAGGAAGCTGCCAAAAAGAAAATGGGAGTGAAAGAATAAGTGTACTTGAAGAAAATTACTCCTGTAGGCGGAACTCAAACGCCGTGTATCTTTAACATTCACTATTTGTTTAACTAAATTTGACTTAATACAGCTTTATTCCATTACTTCTCTTACTTTTTGCCGAAACTGAGAGAGTCGTATTGGTTTTTTGAACTCAAATGTAAAATTTCGCACATTATTTGCTAAGTTCAAGTCTATATTAATGTAGTGCATTATGGGGCGTTACAATTAGTAGCCTCGATTCTCGTGAAGAGAGTGAAGATTTAGAATTGATACTTGGCTTCAAAAATGTTGTTGACGACAATCGCAAATGAACGTCTTGATTGCCTTTTTGTGGGGTAGAAATCTGAATTTTGCATAGCCCTGATTCAACAAGTGCTCAGGTGTTTGGTATTCAACAAAACTTTTGCGAGACACTTAGCCAATAGAGGGGAATTTGCTTTAATGCGGGAATGTTGTGGCGATGTGCTCGATGCCTCCAAGGTCTATCTGGGGCACCTTTGTCTGCTTAGAGGAGTCACTGAATCTCTCTGAATCATGAAAGTAAAAATTAAAGCCTCCTTTCACTTAATGATTATTTTAACGCTGCACTCCCTTCATGCAAGACTAAATTTCAGTTCAAGAGCAGCTATGAAATGGTAGCGCACGTTGTTAGTGAATGGCGGGCCCGTTCATGCTCTGCGTAAGTGGATTAGAGCCTGTGCGACACTACTCTGTTTTAACCTAGTTCTGAGTAGTTAGTGTCATTCATTCGGTACGTGAACATCACGCAAATATGGAGATACCGGATTTATCATCACCACATCGGCCTGCTAAATTCGGCGCATTTGACACTAGAAACGACCTGGTTTGATCGGATCATCATCTACGATTAGACTTGATAGGGCTAATTGTAAACCATCAACAAACGCACCAGTAATCCTATCAGCTGAGCAGAGATTAACCACCTACTGTGAAGGATGCACACAGAAAGTTCTCACAAACAGCCGCTGATACGGGCGTTTCGGCAATAAATGAATTCGAAGGACAGAGTGAAGGATGCATTCGCATAACTGAGCAAAGAAAGATAGCGTGTGCCTGGGACGACAATTTGCACACATTCCTTACTGAATGCATCATCACGTGACAAGACCACCTACCGTACCCAGCGTAAACAAAGTATTTGCTGGTCGTTACTTCTCATCACCCACTCACAAGCTGCAAATAGGTGTTTTGCGACTAAGGTACTGTGGACCTATCACATCAGCCTTGATACATTCCAAGGTCAAGACAACATCACCGGAAACAAAACATCATATAATTACAGAGGCGTTTAGCAAGTGTAGGTAGGATACAAATAATAGCAATAACTAAAGTACGAAAAGCGAGGGAACATCGCTTCTCTAATCTGACATTCACACATTATCAACAGCATCATCAGCCTCATCCTCTTCCTTAACCATGGAGAACAGAAAGTCAATCATAGGGTCGACGATCTCCCTCCGATTTTTCGGCACCGATGCCGGAGCAACAGAACTCCTCTTTGAACTCCCAGGTCCTTCGACATCATCGTAGCTACCTCCATCCTCCAGAGCCTCGCCATCGCTCGGCAACACTTCCGTCGGTTCGGAGGAGATGGAGGACTGAAGCAACATGGCGCCTTCGTGGACGACCTCTGTCGGTGTAGGCAGGGAGGGTTCAGCGATGGTTTTGGGGTTCAAGCGAGGCTGGGGCACCGAGGAGTCAAGTCCAGCGCACCGACAGGGACAGCCGTTGACGGGACATTCAATGAGCGTAGGTGATATGCCAACGCCGCCACCGCCGTGGTAGAACCAGTCAAATATGTGCCCTGCGTGACCTCCGTGTCTACACGCCTGACACCATACGAACCAACTGGCCAATCGCAACGCCCCGCCTCTGCTTCCCCCGCCAGGGGAGACGTTTTCCGCTTTACTGTGACTAGAATTATGAATAATGGAGTCAGGACACGGGTAGGAAACGTTGTCGGGGGACATGTCAGCAGTTTGACAGTAACTTGCCGAAGAAAGTTGAGCTGGGCGGACGGTTTGCCGGTGTTGCTGGTGGCAGCGTTGCCATTGGAGACCTCGACGATAGGCGACTGGCGGCTCTTGACGTGGAGGTTCGAGGACGAGGGTTCAGAGGCGGTGTCGACCTTGCGCTCGGCGGGGTCAGCCGTTGCCCGCACCTCCTCCTCCGACTCCACCATCTCCGAACCCATGTGCATCAAGCAGATGGAGCAGCGCGGTAGAGGCTTGAGACAGTGCCAACAAATAGTCTGTTTTCCACCGCCGGCGTGCATGGAGGTCGAGATGGTTGCAGGCGAGGCAGCAGCGGGGGTGTTGAAGCCGCCGCCACCACCACCACCGCTGGCAGTGGAAATCATGCCACCTCGTGCGCGCGTCGTCTCTCCAGAATTACCACGAACGATTCCGCCTAATCGCCAACCGCAGTAAATGCACGCCACGAAGATCTTGAGGGTGGGCAAGCAAAGCGACTGGTTCAAGCCGTTGAAAACTGGAAGAACGCGAACTAAACGCAGCAGAACGCACCTGGTTGGCAGCAGCGGGCAGACCGACGCCACGAACGCCCGCGGCCGGGACCAACAACCTGGCCTCGTCTTTCTCGTTGCCCGCGTCAGGATCACGGGAAGCGTTGGGGGATGTCGAGGTAACCTTAGTGGCCCCTTGGCTCGAGGCTGTGCCATGCGCAAACTGGTTGACGATACGCGCGGAGTAGTAGTTGTCAAAGTCTACGCGATAGAACCACATTCGCCATCTATCCAGCAGGTCGCGGTAGCTAGAGACCACGAAAAACAGGAATGCTCAAGTTGGCAACACAAGCGAAACACTGGAAAGCGTCAACTTCAAACTCATTGACAGGATGTCAACAGACAAACTTCCACGAGAGGAGTTGAAAGGGTCATTTGAGTGTAACTGGGTGCCAAACTACGCAGCCGTTGTCGTTACCAACGCTCACCTTTCGACCCAGTTGGTCAACCGCCTACCGCCCAACTTGGCAACCAGCTGATCTCCAGGTGGCGTGGAAGGCGTCGACTTCGTCGTGTCGCCCACGTCCTTGCCAGATCGCACTCGGAACCTGTTGGACGCCTGCGATTGACC